GTTGCTGCACCAATCCGAGCTTCTCAGTGCAGTCAGATTACAGACAGACAAAGTAGATATTCCCAGAGAAGCCGCGAGGTGGCATTTAAGGGGAACCAAATTTCTCTTCCAGATGAGTAAGTAGTTCTGGAGACAACCTTGTGACTGTCCCCAAAACACTGAAATGGAAGTGTTTTGGGGACACGTACTGGAAGTGGTCATTTTTACATTAGTGTGTATTCTCCCAACAAAAAGAAAAGAAGGCACATCCTACCGTGGCCTCAACATTCTCCCTGGTCCCCCAGTGCCGGGATCACAGGCATGTACACCGCACCGGCCTATGCACATTCTTTTTTTTTTTTTTTTTTTTTTTACCAGTACCAGGGATCGAACTCATAACCACGCTCTTGCAAGGCAGGCGTTTATGCCACTGAGCTAAATCCCCAGCCCCCTGCCTATGCACATTCTAAAAGACCTCATTAATCAAGTGGGTATGCCATGTTTTTTAAAAAAATTGTGTTTTGTTTTTGTGACAACTGAAAGCTTTTACCACGCCACATGCCATTGGGAAAGGCAGACCCTGCTTGACCAGCTGGCGGCCATGTGTCCCTGCGGTACTGCAACCAGGCCACAGCTCTCTCAGGACCCCTCCTGGCCACTGCCCAGAGGTGGTATCCAGCCCTGAGGGGCCCCTCATCATCCTATGGCTGCATCTCTGTGTGTGTTTAGCTGCAGGATGTCAAGGTCTCACTCTGTGTCCCTGGCTGTGTCCATTTCTTCCTCTCAGACTGTGTGCCCCAGGAGTGCGGTCCAGCCAGGCCCCCAGGTCTAGGCCTCTGCTACCTCTGGTGAACAAGACTCACCCCTCAGAGCACATTGCGTCAGCCAGACTGCAACCCATGGTAGGAGGTGAGACAGCTGGTCACTCCACTGGGCAGTAGGTCCCAAGACCCCAATCACAGGTTCAGGCAGCAAAGGCCCCTACCCAGGCAGACCAAGCACACTGCATCCAGACCCTAGCAAGGCCAGCAGAAGGGAGACTTAGGCAGCTCTGAATATAGTGGCTTCCAACCAGGGACTCTGTCTTCCAAAGGGGTCCCCGCAGTGACATACAACTGCTAAACAGGTCATGACCAAAACTAACGTGAGATAGGCCTACAGCCTGGGCCCCCAGGCACTGGGACCACTCGGGGCACACAGCGTCCCAAGGCATGGATGGAGTCAGCCTGAGTCAGCCTGAGTCACAGATGATGCCTACAGGGCAGGGCAGGACTCACAGCCCAGCTCTGTACAGTGTGTCCCTGGTTAATCTTTTCATTCCCTTCTACCTGTAAATTGTCCTTGGCAAAGGAGGGTTAGTAAGAAAGGGCCCCTAGGAGAAGAAGTATGCTCTTCAGAAACCAGCCTAATTTGAATTTCAGTTTTTAAAAAAATGAAACTGCAAGGTAGGGCATGCCTGTAATCCCAGGACTTGGGAGGCTGAGGCAGGAGGATTTCCGAGTTCAAGGCCAGCTTGTCTCAAAAAAATAAAACCCAGAGATACTGATGAATACTTTTTCTAGTGTAAGTACATGCCAAGTATGGGATGTCAAGTATGGGAGTTACATAAGACTCCTGAGTGGGTGCAACTTGAATTCAGCCAGATCTCTTAACTGGGAAGGGACAGGGCAGACTAATAACCAGGTCTCCCGGCCCCTTTTCAGAGCTGAGTCCACCAAACGAGGCCCCTCCTGTGTTATCACTTAGCTGAACGATGGTGCCAAACTTGGCACTTAATCTGAGCCCAAAGTTTGCCAGTCTGCCTAATGGAGGAGCATGACAAACCTCAAATTATAGCCTCAGACCAGCAGGAAAGTTTGTAATAAATGCTGAATTTGCCAGGCATGGGAGCACACATCTGTAACCCCAGCACTCCAGAGGCTGAGGCAGGAGGACTACCAAGAGGCCAACCTGGGCTATATATCAAGTTTGAGATCAGCAAGACTTTCAATAAACAAGTAATTCCGAGTCTTAACCATCTGAGCATCACCTTTATTTTTATGGAAGTAGGGAGTAAGCCTAGGACCATCATGCAGAGCCCTGTCCTCAACACTGTAGGAGGCTGGGCCAGGAGGATGGTAAGTTGAGGCCAGCTGGGGCAACTTAGCAAGTCCCTATGTGAAAAGATTAAATAGGCCTGGGGATGTCACTTGGCACAAAGCTCTTGGGTTCAGTCACCAGTACTGGGAAAGATTAAGAGGTCCCTGGGTGAGCTGGTGTACACAGAGGCTGCGCTGGGCCTCAGTCAGGACAGGTATCAGGAGGGTCAGCCCTGGGCTGGGCACCATGGGGTACCAGGTGCCCGAGAGCATGCAAGTGCATCACAGGCTCCTCACACCAGCCCTCAGAAAGGCAGTTGCCCTGAAAGGCAAAAAACTGTACCAGAGAAACAGTTCTTTTTAAAGTGTTGCTCTTTTGAAACTGCCTACTTCTAGAACTGCATTATGGCTTTGTAATCACTTTCTTGACCCTGTAACCATGTGACCATAACAGACCGTGCAAATGCCTGACTGTATCCCTGCACCAAGGTTCGTGAGTTGATGACTGTCAATCCAGCTTTGTAACCGACAATCTCCCCCACTAGCTGATCAGAAGAGCTCCCAGACTGTTCCATCCCGCCTTTGCACCTCCTGCTTGTGCATCACATAAAAGCCCTAGACCACCAGAGGTCAGGACCTGATATTCTGGGAGTGACCCAATCAGTGCCTCCAAATCCTCAGTGTCACTGTGGTTTGTTTGTCCTTGCAACCTCACACACACACACACACAAAACCCCGGGGTGTGGTGGCACGCCTCTGTAATACAGCACCTAGGCAACTGAGGCAGGAGGGTTGCTGAGTTCTAGGCTGGCCTGGGCTACATGAGAAGATCCTGTCTAAAAACAATTAAGGCTGGGTGTTTAGCCCAGAAGTGCCTGCCTGGCAAGCACAAGGTCCTGAGCTTGATCCCCAGGACCAAATACAAAAAATAGTAATAATAATTAGACACCTGTAGCCCCTGGGGCAGAGTGGCTGTCACATGGGAATTCTCAGAGGACGACATTCAGAGGATGCTTCCTTGCTCAATTCAACCTTACCACTTCCGGGGAACGTGGACCCTACAGGTTAAAGTCCACTTGAGCACAGCTGCCCAAAAGCTGAGTCATTAATCTTTGGCAGCTGGGGACAGAATTAGCCAGGATGGAACAAGAGAACCTCCCGCTAGGGTCCAGAGGTTTGGGCACACCCCATCCTCTGTATCTGATCCAGGCGCCCTGCCAGAGCCCTGCACTTCCCTGTCCTTTGTTTTCCACCATGACTGCACTGTTTCTACCCCCTCTTGTGCGCGCTGGCGCTGGTGACAACCACAGCTCCTTTCATCTTTGGGCACACTGGACTCCCCTCCACCAGGTCCACAGCTCCTGTCACCCCTCCTGCCTCAGCACACATTTTTTCTTTGGTGGCAGTGGGCAAACTCAGAGTCTTGGGGTTGCCAGGAAGGTATTGTACCACTGACCTGGATCTCAGTCCCTTATTTCAGAGGCAGGAATTCACTAACTTGCCCAGGCTGATATTAAATTAACCATCTCGCACCCCAGCCTCCCTAGGGCTGAGATTACAGGTGTGCACCACCACCAGGCCTGGCTTGAAACTGCCCTCCACCTGCATGAGGTCCCCACAGCACTCAGCCCACAGAGACACAGGCACCCATGGGTCGCCTCCTTGCCAGGCTCCAAGAACCCAGCAGCCACGTCGGCACTTATGCCAGCTGCCCCAGGATACCAGCCCCAACCCCTGGGCTGGGAACCTTTACAGACAGCCCAGAGGCATGGGCTCAGGGCCAGGCACCCAGCCTTTGTCACCCGTAGGGCACCACCAGCCCAGCTACGATCTGAGCCTTGGGGGTAAACAATCATATTCCAGTCCTCATGGCCATGTGCACTCTGTCCCAAGTCTGTCCTATCCTGGTTGGGAAATGAGGTCAACACACTGGCTTCATTTGGAGGCAGAGTCCAGGAAGCAGCCCCACCACCTGGTTGCTGTCTCCTACCAGTAGACACATGGCCTTGTGATGTCACAGGAGGCCCACTCACATCCCTTCTGCTCTCTCCATGGCCTGGTCAGCACAGACACCACCGGTACAGAGCTGCAGGAGCCCAGAGTGACAGCACAGGTGACCCAAGGGTCTGCCCCTCATGGTACCAGCTCCTTTCCAGGTGGCAGCTCAGCCACCTCACCTTGCGAAGTTGTCCAGTCCTGCTGTTCCCAGGGGCCTTCTGAGCCACAGCTACTGACTTGGAACCCAGGAAAAGCCCCTGGAGCTGCTGTGACTGGGGTGGGAGGGGGGGATTGTGCAGAAGAAATGGCAGGCTTTACCCACACCCTGCCATGTAGAACACTGCAGGCAGACCCGAGGAGGCAGGGTACTGACTGGCTCCGCACTTACCTACTCCATCCCCCAAAGGAACTGCATTGGGGAGACCAACCTACTGCTGGGTTGGTTCTGCAATGCAGGCCCTCTACAGGTGACATCAGAGACAAGCCCTGAGGACAACAGCCAAGTTGCACTGACTGTCCGAGGACCCCAACAAGGCAGTGCAGGAGGCCAAAGTGCTGTAACCTGCACCTCACCCCATCCTGTGACAGACATGTCCTTTTCAGTGCTCTTGGAGCTCTACTCAGGCACCCCCAACACCCCACCAGTGTCATATCTGACTTCCCCACACTCAGGACAGAGAAACAGAGCCCCACCTTGGGTCCCCACGTAGCAAGGCCATCTCTAGGCCCGACTGCACCTGGGCATACCCCCAGCATGCTCAATGAGCAAGTGACACGCGGGGACACTGAGGAGCAGCCAAGGGTGCTGAATGGGTGGTGCCCCACTCTTGGGCCAGGAAGTCAGGTTTTGGACTGGGAAGGTGGTTGGGTAAGAATGTCACACCAGGCCTCCTGCACCTGACAAGTAAGCTGTCAACAGGGGAAAGAGGACAGTGGCCCTGGCACTTCTGAACACAATACGCATGTTGCGGAGCAGGCCGATCACAGTAGGAAGGACATCTCCCAGGACACAGCTCCCAGGGCAGTGTAGCAGGGCTCTTGGGGCCATAGGGGATCACATGGGAGACTTGGTTGGGCACCGCTGCCCTCTGCTGGCCGCACACGGTGCTGCAAGCTGTGAGGGCTGAGGGACCAGTCTGGATGGTAGAGGTTTATTTTGTGGTTGGTCTGCTTTTGCAGTACTAGGGATGGAATTCTGAGCCCCTGCATTGAGCTACATCCCCTGCCCTTTTCCTTTCGGATTTTGAGAGGTGCTCAGGCTGGCTTCAAGTTCACAATCTTCCTCCATCAGCCTCCATCAGTGTAGCTAGGATCACAGGCACGTGACACTGCATCCTGCTGGAATCTCAGGAGAAGGCAGCCTGGCAGGGCTGGCCCAGTCCCCCAGCCCTGTGTGCCCCATTCGGAACGCTGGGGTACAGGGCAGGAGCCACCGAGTCCCCTGGGTGTCTCTTCCCGGGCACGTGGGCCTGCCGGCCTCAGGATGGCGCTGCTGCAGGTTGGGACTTCTTCCCTCTGTGCTTAAAGCTGCGCAGTGGATTCTGGGTCTTCTTAACCTTCTACAGGGCAGAGTCTGGGTAAGGGAGTGCAGCAAACAACTGTCTCCACTGGGGTGGCACAGTGGGCAACGTTGGCACATGGCGCTGCCGCTGAAGCCCTCAGGCCAAGGAGCAATGGCCGCTGCGGGCATAGAGCAGGGACAGCGGGGAAACAGCAGACCCATGTCCCACAGATCTCCCCTGACCTGAGCAAGATGTGGGGATGTCCTGGTGACAACAAAGGAACAAGGTGGAGGGGACCCTGCCGCTGTTCCCACAGCCCTGGAGTACCTTAGCCTTCCTGCCAGGGGCCAGCTTCTTCCGCTTCCTGTGAGTGCGCACAAGGCCACGTAGAGCTGGAGGAACTGCAAGAGACCGGGCCCCGGAGGTCACCTCAACACTCAAGGCTTCAGCCTCCTGTCACCCCAATCCCATGAGACCCAGTCCCTAGACTGCCAGGGCTCTCCACATTCTGGCCAGGATTCCCAGTGGTGCACTCTCAACTGTGACACAAGTGACACACAGCGACTCAGCCTCACATAGACCCAGGGACAGGAATACCAGCTCCACCAAACCACAGCCCACATCACTCCTCCTGGGGGTTAAGTACATGGCAGGAGTGTGAGACAAGGACAGGCTGGGGTGACGTTTGGGCCAGAGTGCAAGGCTCAGGGTAACCGCTTCACACACGGCCCTGTGACAAGCTCACTGGCTTCACGTGATGTCCAGGGCTCCTAATTCAGGCCCTAAGCCCAAAGGCCAGGCCGTGTCCACCTGCAAGCACACTGCTTCTACGGCCTCCCCTCCTATAGCTCCCTAGCACTCACTCGGGGACTACCCTTTCTGGCCACTCAGGCCTTCTGGCCACCTTCCGACCCAACCCTCACCACACTCACCCAGGTAGTCAGGGACATGGCCCAGATGTGGCTTCACCACCGCGGGGTGCAGGGGCAGGTCATGCCGCAGTAGCTGCAGGTCCCGGGGATTGTCCTCGAAATATGTCTGGGGTGGGGGCAGAGAGCTCAGTATGTCAGCGGCATTGTAACTTCGCGGATTGAATTTTTTGGTTTGCAACATGATACTGGGAGCGGTGATGGGTACTCAACAAACCTAGGCAGGGTCTTACAAGTGCTAGGTAAGACATACCCAACACCCATTCCTTTAAGATGGGGACTCACTATGCTCCTCAAGCTGGTCTCACACTCATGGGATCAAGCGATCCTCCTGCCTCAGCCTCTTAAGTAGCTGGGATTACAACTGCAACCAGTCAGACTGAATCTTCGAAAGGACGTTAGACCCATGTGCTTTAAAGTTTAAGAGGCATGAGGTGACCTTTCTACCACCTCTGTCCCTGTCACTGTTCCCATCCAGAGGTGGCTTTCTAACTCATACACAAGTTTAAATGCTCCCTCCAGTGTGTCGCCAATGGCCCTCCAGTGGCCCCCTGCAGCAGCTCTCTTGGATACCCAAGCACTCCCATGTCCTGCACTACAGACTCTTGGTGGGTGGACATCAGTGACATGCCCCACTCGCCTCACCTTGAGTTTCTCAGAGTGTAGCAGCTCCTCCTTGATCTCCTTCAGCCGTGCCTCCCGGATGGCCTGCTTCGTCACTGAGCGCATGGCGTCCTACATGAGGACACAGGTGTCAGCCAGGGCACAGGACCCAGGTCACGGTCGGCCCCCCAGCCCATCCCTCCCGCCAGCGTCCAGCGCACCTTGCATCGATAGCGGAAGCCCTCAATCTCCTCCATGTGGAACTGGTAGGGAAGCAGGGCAGAGGCCTCGCCCTCTGCAGAGAGGAGCAGAAGGGGCTCAGGCAGGGGTGCCATCCCCATGGGGAGACGCCAGGCTGCACACACATTGGGTTACGCAGCACCCAGGGGTGTGCATCACAGCAGTCACATGCCACTGGGACACAGACCATAAACAAGACTTTTGCACAGATTACCTCTGTTACCCTCAGTGCAGGGTGGCTGTGCCTGCCCCACAGGGCAACATGAGGTCAACTTAGGGGACTTAGAAGCCTGGTCTGACCCAGCCCGGGCCCCAGGAGCTGGGCGCTCACCATCAGTGAGGAGCTCCTCAATCCTGCGCAGCTGCGATTGCTCGGTGGGCAGCACAAAGGTCAGCACGATGCCGGGGTTGTTGGCACGTGCTGTCCTGTGACGGGAGAGGAGCCGAACTCAGACTGCATCTCTGCCCCAGGGCTCCACCCAGCCCTCCTTGCCCACCTGCCTGGCCTCTTACCTCCCAGCCCGGTGGATGTAGGCTTCAGGGGTGGGGGGAAGGTCAAAGTTGAGCACTGCGGACACATGGTGGAAGTCTATGCCCCGGGCCACACCAGCCTCTGGGTCCGAGGCCCTGTGGCGAGAACCCAATGTCAGGCCGGCCCCTTTTTCCTTTAGGATGGGTTTATAAGCTTAGCCAAAGCTTAGCCAGCAAAACACCCTCTGAACAAAACTGATGGCTGCAAGACCCTGCTACACACCAGATCACCCCACACCAAAACCACTGCAAGATGTTTGCATGGTGATGTGCACCTGTGATCCCTACTCTCTGAGAGGCTAAGGCAAAAGGATTACAAGCTCCACCCCTAAGTAACTGAAGAGACTTCATGAGACTCCTTTGGGCAAAAACAAAATCAAAATCAAAATCCCCTCAAAATGCCAGGCACAATGATGCATGTCTGTAATTCCAGTATCTGGAAGGCTGAGGCAGGAGGATGGCTTCAAGCCTGGGCAGCCTAAACACAGTGGGTTCAAGGCTGGCCTGAACTACATAATGAAACCCTGTCAGAAAGGAAAGAAAAAAAAGAAAGAAAGAAAGAAAAGAAAGAAAACGCCAGTGGTACAACTTGTAATCCCAGCACCTGAGGGGCTAAGGCAGGAGGATCACTGTGAGTTAAGAGGCCAGCCTGGGCTACACCGCAAGTCCTTGGCCTGGGCTACACCGCAAGTCCTTGTTTTTGTTTTTTAAAAAACCAAAACCCTCATAATTGTTACAGAAACTGGGGCTGCAAGCCACTGCTAGAGTGGCTGCATAGCAAATAGAACCGCAAAAAACACACAGGAAACTGTTGAATCCTTGTGCTGACCTCAGCTGTGGTGACTGGGACTTCCCCACTAACCCCTTCAGCTAGATCAGGGATACTCCCCTTTCCTAGCAACTGCCAGCCACCACCTGCTGCATGCAGGACCATCTTCTGGCAGTGGCAGGGCATGCATTAAACAGCCTTCACCCTGGTCCCATCCTCATGGCCAGGCAGCTGAGTGAAGGCCATAAGGCTGTCCTTCAGGCCACACCACCAGCCACCAGCCAGCAGGACCACAACACCTTGTTCTGTGTGCTCTGGGTTGTTTCCAAACTAACTGACAAACAGGCCTCTCTGGCAAGGATAAGGAAAAATGAAAAACGTGGACTCACTTATCTCCTTTGGGCTTTCGGCCCCGCTGCTTGCCCTTGGCTGGGGCCCCGAGGACGTCAGAATCTGTTGCTATGACACAGTCGTAGAAGCCTTGGTTGAACTGAGAGATGATGTGACACCTGTGGCCCAAGAGAAGAGTCAGCCCATCGGTGACTGGTGTGATGTAGGGAGTGGTGCGACCGCCCCACTGCTGTCTCCCTGCCTCTCCCTCCTATGGACACGTAATGTGCCTGCCTACATTAACCATAATCCTCTCCTACTCACGTCACGTACACGGACGTGACGATGACCCATCAGAGATTACCTCGCAGCCTCTTCCTGTCCCACTGGCCCATCCCTGCCCTATAAAAGCAGCGACCACTTTATTAATAAACGAGGCTTGATCAGATTTTCTCAACTTGTCTCCGGCCCTGTGTTAATCCCCGTTCCTTCTCCAGGAAACTGCCCCTCGGATCCGGATTGACCCACGGGCTGGGTCAGTGTGATACCACTGGTGCTACTATTAACATTGCCGCCTTCTGCTACCTCCTCCTGTCCATCTCTTTCCTCTCTTAATTTGGTGAAAATGGGAAAAAATAGGTATTTTGGGGTTCTGGCAAGTAACTGTCAATCAAGTTCAGAGCCTGGACTCTACCACGTCCTGGCAAGACAGGACCATCAACAGTCCCTTCCTGTGCCTGTTTTCAAACATCCCTGCCAAAGCGCAGCCACTACAAACCTGGAGCGCAGCGGGAGCTCACCATTGAGCACGCAGGTTGGGATGCTGAACTGTTCCAGGAAGAGGCGCAGCCGGTAACTCCGCTCCAGGCTGTTGACAAAGAGCAGCGACTTGCCCCGGATCAGGGACAGCTTGAGTAGGGCATAGAGCAGCAGAAACTTGTCTTCCTCAGTCTCGCAGACCACCTGGAACTGCTGTAACTGGTCTGGCCCTGGCAGCTGGGACTCCTGCAACTTGAGCGTAACCTGGGGAAAGAACAGGCCTGCTGTCAGGGAAGAGAAGACAGACACTGGAGCCGCTGTCTCATCAACCAAAGCACGGACGCTTTCCTGTAGGGCAGAAATGCCCTAAGGATTTTTAGTGTACAAGATCCCTCCAGCTTTGGAACTTAAGAACTCAAAATGCCCTAATATATGTGTGTATGAAACAGATTGTACAAAAAGCACTTGGGCACACAATTAAGACAAACACTGACAAATAAAGCTACCGAGTAGGGCAGGCCTACAGCTACAGGCCTTGTAAAGGGTAACATTTACCAAAAGTGAGAAATTTGCCTTGTAATTTTGGCTCTGCCATTCAACACAGGCCCTTAGGGATTATAGGTGAGGGTCCTCTAAGTTTCTAGGGAAAGCACAGTTTGAACTGGAAATATCTGAGAATACGTACAGACATAGTCTATGTAGCTCAGGCTGACCTTGAACTCATGGTCATCCTCATGCCTCAACCTTCCAAGTGATGGATTATAGGCAAACACTGATGCTCACTTTGAACGCCTCAGAACCAGGAATGACACACCAGTAACAATAGTCCCACCCCAAACACCAAAGGTTCCTCTGAGAAGGAGCATCAAGTCCTTTAAGGGTCCCTTGCCCGCAGCTCCAGCTGCTCCCTCTTACTGGGTTATGTAGCACCAGTTCCTTGAGCGCCTGCACATCCTCATTAAAAGTAGCTGACATAAGAAAAGCCTGGTAAATCCGAGGCAAGTGACTGAAAGAAAGAAAACCGCCAGATCACACCCCAGCTCCAAGGGCTTCTGCTCATCCCCACTCACCTGACTCCATGTCTCTGCTCTGCTGACTTTTCCACTGGGAATCACCCTGTCCCTTCCTTACCAGAGAAGACTCTTGAGGTCGTCCTCAAAACCAAAGGAAAACAGAAGGTCAGCTTCATCCACCACCAGCAGCTCCAGGGAGTCACGCAGTTTCAGGTTGTCCTGCTGCAAGTGGTTTAATATGCGGGATGGGGTCCCCACAACCACATCTGGCTTCTCCATCAGCATGGCTCTGCAGGCAGAAGACGGCGGTATCAGGAAGAGCTCAGCAACTAGAATTGCACTCTGGACCTGCCCCATCTCTTACCACACACAAACCCAACCGCAGGTCTCTGTAGTTTTGTTCCCTGACAGCTTTCACCCACCTCTGTGAGGCTGTGTCTTCAGCAGCTGAAACATTGGCCACTCGCACATCTCGAGCACAATAGGCAGCCAGCTGCTGAATCATGAACTGGGCCTGCCGGGCCAGCTCCTTGGTAGGAACAAGGATGAGGGCTTTCACAGCCTGTTCCACCACAGGACCTGTCTGTAAGAGAATCAAAGACTGTGGCCAGCAGGAATACCACTGCATCTGTCTTATTCTCTACTCCTTCTGGGTCAACCCACGCACTGCAATACAAGCACATAGCATGTTCTGATAAATCCCTCCCTCTGCCCACCTCGGAACAAGACGGAGGGCCTTCCAGGCACTGGCACTCAAAAACAATTTCCTCTAGGGTTACAGCTTATGTGAAACGCAAGAGATACTAAAGCTGACTCGCACAATAACAGAAAACGGAAATGTTTCCTCACAAATGAAACGTAATTCATCCAAAATTATATTCTGGCTGGTGGAGGTGGCAGCAGGATCTGGATCTGGATTAACTCCATCCCAGATTGTGGATCACAGGGGACCACCCCGCTAAGCAGAAAGCCAATGGAAACCTTGGCACCTCCTTTCCCCGCCCTTTGGGTCTTGCGTCCCCCCTCCCATCCGCTCCCACGCCACCCACCGCCTTTCGGTGGAGCAGCAGCTGCAGCATCGGAATAGCGTACGCGGCCGTCTTTCCGGAGCCCGTGCGCGCCCGAGCCAACAGGTCCTTCCCCTCCAGCGCCAGCGGGATGGCCTTTTCTTGGATCAGCGTGGGCCGCGACCAGCCCAAGTCGGCGACTGCCTAAAAGAGACGCGGAGCGCGGTTCAGGGGATGCAGACGGCGGAGGTGCGTCCTGCGGACCCTGTGGGAGGCTCTCCAGTCAGCAGCCCCTCACCGTACCTGCAAAAGCCGGGGATCCAAGCCCATGTGTTCGAAGCCCAGACTCTCCAGCTCCGCCATGGTTCCACACTGACAGTAAGCACGCGCAGCCAGAAACACGTGAGCATATGGGAGCGTCAACCAATCAGCTTCGGAAAAACAGGCACTCCCCGGAACTGCTGGCGCGTAAGCTTCCGGCGTATCCCGAGGCGGCCTGCGGCTGCGCAGCGCTCAGCACCGTCCAGCTCCGGGTTCCCGGGATCTTCAGACCCCGGGAAGTGTTGGGGGGGATTTTCCGTCTGGTTATGATTAGTGAAGGCGATGGTCTAGGGACCCCACGCCGGATCGCAGTCTGGCCCCACGCAGCGAGGTTGCAGATCTATGGGGTCAGAGGTCTCCCTGGGATAAGAACAAAGTGTCAAGACTCCTACCTGCATTAGGAGCTATTAAGATGGTAAATGTCTTAAACCATTCAGTGTGTGGTAGTTTTGTCACAGTTGTAACGAAAACAAATAGAAGTGAGGACTACTTGTGATCCGGTCAAGGGTAGGCGGCTAGCCTGTACTGAGGCCTTGTCTCAAATCAATGTGTAAGATTAGACTCAGTCCACTGTGGAGTGGCTTTGAGACTGGAAAAAGGGTCACAAAACGAACCGCCCAGTAGCAGGAAAATGGTTTATTACTCCCTGAAGTCACTACACCTGTGATTACTTTAGGCCCACCCAGGCGATCCAAGATATAAGCTTTTAGTTTCAGTGATCAGATGGTCAACTTTGCCACATTCAGATTTGAGGGATTTGGGTACATATTTTAAGGGCGAGTCCTGTGCTAACCTTCTAGTATGATCAGACTGGCCTTTACTCAGGAGTCTACGTTAATGAGCTTCGAGGGTGACCTACGTGCAGCTGATGTGACCCATGGCCTGCATATCAGGAACTAAGATCCGGTTAAGAGTGTACCTTGTGCATGGCAAGTTTGGGGAACCAAATGATAAGGCACTGCCATTCAGGACAGCTGGGGGGAAGCGTCAATAAAAGGGGATAAGAGTGGGTGCATCTCAGCCTACACTTCTTTTGCCCCTAGGACTGGAGATTGAACCCAGAGTGCCAAGCTGCTCTCCAGCTGTTTCTGTTTTGAGTCAGGATCTTGCTAAATTGTCTGGGCTGGCCTCAAATTTATAACCCTCCTGCATCAGCCTCCTGAGTAGCTGGGGTTACAAATGTGCACCAACATACTTTTTCTTTTTTTGTGTGTAGGTTTTGCAGGGATGTAGAGTTTAAGAAAAAAGAATACTGGTCAGGTGTGGTTAGTGCACACCCAGCACTCCGGAGGCGGAGGGAAGAGGATCATCATGAGTGGAGGGAGGCCAAACAGTCTAGGTGTGGCGGCTCATGTCTCATACCAGCACTCGGCAGGCTGAAGCAAGAAGATCACTGGGAGTTTGAGGCCACTTTGGCTACACAGTATGTTCAAGGTCACCCTGAACTAGTGAAACCCTGTCTCAAAACACTAAAAATAGGTATGTGGAATATTACAGCATACAATGAGAAGTAACAAGGGAATTTAGTTCTGTAGGTCAGATAAAGTAATTTAATAAATAGAATTTCAAATAAATATGTAAAACTAAGAAATAAGTCACAAAGGGACAACTGATGAATGCAGTTTTATACAGAAGGGCAGGAGAGAAGTATACGGAGAGTTGTCAGGCCTAGGGTTTAGGGGCTAAGAAAACAAGTACTTCATCTCACAGTCCGTCGCTGATGTGCTGTCTACTTGGCTGGCCTTGGAGAATGGTTAAGCAACTACCCTGCCTGTCCCCAGTTCCCCCAGAGATGGGCCTTCCAGGGTGGACACAAAGGACAAGGTCACACTGCAGTCACCCCAGGACACTGACACCAGCAGTCCTGGTCAGGAATCTCTGCCCTTCGTCTCCTCTGCCCACAACCTCTGATTGCATTCCAAACACAGCTACTATAGCACTTTTATTTCACTGGAAAAACCTATAGGAAGGAACCAAATCTGGTTCCCTTGAAAAAATTTACCAGAGCTTAAATAAGAGGCAGGGTCAGCACTCACTGCCCAGGTCAGCTCTGTCCCCATCTTACCTCTGACGCCGAGGCCCTGTGATCACAGGCGTCCGAGAGAGCTTTGCCTGGCCTTCTGAGAAGTCATGTCATGGCCTTGGCAGCAGCTGTGACAACTGCTTTCTGGCCCACAGAGTGATGGAATCCTGAGGACTGCCATGGCAGTTATTAAAAATGTGAACAAACACAATACACAAGAAATGGACTGGTGTTTTCAACTAGTTACAGGCAGTAACACTTCAACTAGGAAGGAAAATATATCATTTATCAAAAAATAGTTCTAATATATAGAAAAACATCTCGATCCTCTGGGGTGAGACATGCCCCTTATTTACATTCACAAAGCCACTGAGGAAACCCAAGACTGGCCAGGGGACAGTGCGAGAAAAAATAGGTTTTGCTCATTTTGTGAGAGAACAGAAGGGAATCAGAGGAGGCCAAAGAAATAAGACAATCTTAACTGAATTCCAATTCCTCAGAAGCCTTAAACAGATTCAGAAAGATTGGACCAGTGTTCTGGGTCCTTGAAAACCGGGATTAAACAAGTATCTGATTTGAATAGTTCCTTGCTGTGGTACCAAGCTGATACATTCTTTTTCCTCTTCCCTCCCCACCAAAACTCCAGATGGCTAAATGTGAGTAGGTGGGGAAAGTACCCAATTATTGAGGCAGAAAGAAGGGACATTTGAGGAGGTTGCTACACCAGCTTCTTGGCCTCAAAGAAGCTCTTGAGGTGCCGCATCTGCCAGATGCCGGTGAGGATAAGGATGCCAGTCTGTGCAATGGACCACCACAGCACCCTCTGGTTGGTGCTCTCACTGGTCAGACGGAAGCGCTCCTCACGATACTGCGTGGAGAGAAGGATACAGGGTTAAAGGAGTAGTAGAAACAGTCCTGGCTGTCCTGAGGGCCCTCCCTCTGTGTGGCTGCTCAACTCCAAGACCAAAACCTCTTGAATAGCACCTGTGAGTCCATGAGGGGTACCAGTCCTCCCACTTGAATGCCCCAAGGGAAGAACAATGCTGTTCCTTCATGGGCACCTTTGTTAGGACTGAAGTCAGGCTCTTACGATTTCAATAAAAATTAAAAGGAGAGAGGCAATAGCTACAGTGGATTGTAAGCTGACCTCTCTACACTTATGGGAGGTGTGTGTGCTGGGAATCAAACTCAGGACCTTGTACTTGCCAAGCAGGAGCTGTACTGCTGAGCTATATCTCTGGCCCTACATGTTTTCTTATACAGCTTAAAAATCAACTAGAGCCAAATAGAATGCATACATATACTGCAATATGTTCAGTCTTAAAAACAAAGGGAGTTGGGGCCAGGGATTTAGCTCAGTGGCACAAGCGCCTACCTGGCAAGCACAAGGTAGTGAGTTCGATCCCCAGTAGCAAAAAAACAATACAGATGGATCTTGGAGGCATTGTGCTAAGTGAAGGGACTGCTATACTTAGGTATGTCAGAAACAGAAGCAGAAAACAACAGGAGCTGAGGAGGAAAGGAGAATTAGTGCAGCTTTAACAGTGCAGATTTTCTGTTTAGGAAGATAAAAAATTGTGAAAATAGAGGTACTACTTGCACAATAATGTGAATGCACTTAATACCACACAGATGTGTATTCTGAGATGATCAAAATGTGCAGTTTTATGTTACGTACATTTTTACCACAATTAAGTGAAGAGTTGAGGGTGTGATCCGGTGATACAGTAATTGCACCTCACATCCAGGTGAGGCCCTAGGTTTCTCACAAAAAGAGAGTATGATGCACACCTGCAATCCCAGCACTCAGAAGCTGAGGCAGGAGGATCACAGCTGCTGAGTTCAAGGCCAGCTCAGGATACATAGCAAGACTATGTCTCAAAAAGCAACAACAAAAAAACTCCAACTACCTACACTCACTCTCTATTCCAGTCTCTGAAGAGCTGATCTTCTAAGTAGCAAAGGCCTCATGCAGAAACGTGGCGCAGGTAGAATGAGTAAAAAGGTCAAATACAAGGAGACATTCGCTTACCCTCTGGTAATCCTGTTCTTTCTGAATCTGTTCCACTTGATCAAGCAGCTGGCGGGCCCGAAGCTGCAGCTCGGTCAGCTTATCCTTAGCTGCGATCTCTGGGTAATTATTAGCATGCTCCCCGACCTGGATGTCCAGGTGCACACGCTGCAAGAAAACAGGAGTGTCTAAGTAGTACGCCTCAAAGCTAGTCCCGGTCTGCCAAACACATAGCACCCCGTGGCTAGGGGACAAAAGGACAGTTTGTCTCCCACTTCGGAGTGTGCTATGAAGTGTCATGCACGACAATGGCAACAAATCAAATCTGAGATACTGCAGGCTGAGACCACCGAGAATTCCTCTTACCAGCTTGCCCCCAGCGAAGAGGGCCATCTTGGTGGAGTTGGAGTGCAGGCAGATCTGGTGCTCGCCGGGTGTGTGAGAGGTGAAAGTGAAGCGGCCCTCGGAGCCGTACTGCCGGGACAGGACCACCTGCAACCATATCAGTGACCGACACCTTTACTGTGACCTCGTAAAGTGCAAGCTCAGGTCCCCGCGACCGCGACGCAGAGCCTGAACCCCGGGCCCTGCACGGGCGCACTCACCTTGCCATCCGGGTCCTTCACCTCCACATGCATGCCCAGGCCGGGGGTCGAGGGAAGGAAGGCCTCCTTCTGCTTATCCCACATCTGGGTTCGGTAGTTGCCTGCGTGGGGGAAAAGTCAGAAACTGCACACCCGCCGCGGCCCAGGGTGGGACCTTGGGCAAGGACCCTGGCTTCTCTGGACCTCAGGGGACGGGGACGGCCTGCCGGGGCTAGGGGAAAAAAGACGCTTCTAAGGACCAGGCAAAAACAAAAGGCCGCTCCACCCCCAGCCCGCCTAACCGATGACCATAGTCTCGTCCGGGATTTCCTCGATGAAGCAACGCTTCTCGGTCTCGCCAATGTGGAAATAAAGACCGCGGACGCCCGCGGCCCACAGTGCGAGGAACAGCAATAACGGCCTCCACATTTCTGGTTGCCAACCAGCCGGGACACCTGCCGTTGCACCTCGCTTTCCAAGCGCATGCGCGCCCTTGCACCCCTGCTTTGCGCCTGCGCCCCGCCTCAGCCACGCCACACAGCCGGCGAGAGGGCGTCTGCGCAGTAACGTCCACCAGCCTTTTTCCTAACCTTCCTTCCCGGAGGGCGCTTACTGCTGTGCGCCTGCGTGCTGCTCCCGCGATGCCATAAACGGAGAAAGCGCCTGCGCAGTGCTCCGTTTCCCTCCAAATCCTTCCCTTGGGCAGGGCTCTGCGCCTGCCCAGGGACGCGGGAAACTGAGTTGTGACTCCGGGAAGACCTGGGAGACTTTTTTTCCAAGCTGAGCGGCATCTATTTCTCGCATGGCAAGAACAGAGGACCAGGGTGTCTTTCCTGGGGTGCCTGATATGTGTTAGGATTTCCAGCGCAGTTGACGGACAAAGGGGGAGATAGAAAGAGGCCTTTATGGCAAAGGAGGATGCAGAACAGTGCAGGGCTCCCTCAAAAAAGGGTGGGGGAGGGGGAGGAGCGCTGGGGAACGACTTATATAGTTGCGCTGGGAAAGAGGTTTGGGCGGTTGTGGAGTCTTGGGATTGGAGAGGGCTTGGCGCACGCGCGGAAAGGCAGCGGGAGGTTTATTTTGGGAACTAAAAGAACCCTGAAGGTACTTTTGGAAAGATTTGCTGCAGTTTTCCGGGCTGGTGCCAAGTTGGGCGGATATTATGTTAGAGATAGCTAAGCTTCAAGCTGGCAGAACCCATCGGTGTGCTTCCTGCCGCCTGTTTACCCACAGTGAGAACAGGCCGCAAGCCTTCTCAGAAGACCGCGGGTCACCAGAGCTTGGGATCCTTTGTGAGACGCTGAGGTTGGCTGGCCTTTGGTAGGAAATTTCCCGGCTTGCATAGCGCAGCATTTAGCTCTTGCCTGCTGGAAGGCCAGCATGCTCCGCTCAGATTTACCCCGCGACCGTCCTGTCACCTCTATAGGGAACTCGGACCCTTCATAGCTCTGTCTCATTCTCCAACCTCCATATTCTCTTTCCCCCCATTCTTCATAGTTTGAAAATAAAAACAAGTGCAATTAACTTAACCTCTCAGTCCTCCTGCCTCAGTCATCTGGGTGCTGGGTTTCCAGGCGTGTGCCAGCGTGCCTGAGTTTAGTTGGATACAATTTAGGTAATCTAATTCCGGAGGTTCAAATATTTACGCTCTCAAAGGTGGAGCAGCTGACACAGTGCTAAAAGCCTACCATTCCAGCTACCAACTCAGCTGGTGCTGAGGCAGAAGAATCCCAAATTCAAACCAATCTAGGAAATTCAGTGACTGCGAGATCCTGTCTCAAAATGAAAATTTTAAAAAGGTTGCCAGATGTTGTGGTACTTGGAAGGCTGAGGCAAGAAGATTGCTGTGAGAAGCCAGGTTGGACTGGAGTTCAAGGCCAGCCTGATCTGCCTAGTGAGACCCTGTCTCAAATAACAAAACAAGACAAGACAAAAAGATTGGAAATGTAGCTCAATATGAAGGCTTTGGGTTCAATCCTCAAGGGAGGGGGGTACAGGGGCAGTTGTGGCCAGTCTTTCTGTAGGCTTTGTCTGGGTTGGCCACACATTCCTTTTTTTTGTCGGTACCGGGGATTGAACTCACAACCACACACTTCAAGGCAGGTGCTTATGCCGCTGAGCTAAATCTCCAGCCCCCTGCCACACAGTTTGTGACTGAACCAATATGTGGTACACAGACATTTGTGGCAGCTGCTGTTCTAAGGGGATCACAATGCTCACTGAAACACAAAAGTCTTTGTCCTCGTGGCGTCAAGAAGCATAAGTCAATAAAAAGGAGGTCAGCAGGACATAAATGTCTAAGAGGAAGGGCAAATGAGAATTCAAGTGTGTGTACATGTCCAACTCTGCAAGAAACATGTGAACATGACACTGCAAACATGGGCTAATAAATATAAAAGGTTTTTTTTTTAAGTGTAAATGAGGAGCATGAGGTAGGCAAGGAGGGGGTATGGTGATCCCCAAAAGCTACGTCCATGTCTGACTGCCACAACCTTTGAATGTGACCTTAACTTAGGAAAAAGATATCTGCAGGTGTAATTGCAGATTTCAAAATGCTATGATCTGGATTAACTAGCTACACCTTAAATCCAAGGACACAGAAACAACTCACCCTTGAGGTTGACTGCTGCCTGAAATAGTAAAAAAACAGGAAATAAGTTTTAGAGAATCAGACACAGAACTACCAGATAATACAATGAAACACATTCACTAGAAGATAGGTAGCTCTTTAATAAATGGAGGTGGAAAAACTGGCTCTGTATATGCCAAAGATTAAAGTTGGACCCATATCTTTTACCCTGCACTAAGCTAAAATTCAGAATGAATCAAAGATCTAAATATTAAAACAGAAGCATTAACTCTTCTGGAAGATAGAGTAGGTACAACTCTTGAAAAGACATTGGTGTAGGCAAACACTTTATAAACAAAACCCTGATTGTACAGGAACTGCAAAGAACCAACAACTGGGATGTCATGTTATTGAAAAGCTTTTACACAGTAAAAGAAACCACCAACAGAGTGAAGAGACAACCCCACTTTTTCCTCAAAGGATTACTAACAAGAACATATGAAGGGGCTGAGGATAATTTAGCTCAGTAGCATAAAAAAATCAGTCCTCCCAGATTTAAAAACCCAACGCAAAAAAATGTGCATCTGAGATGAATACACATTATCTCAGATAAAAAATGTAAACAGTAAAGAAATATATGAAAAAATGTTCAACATCATTGGTCATTCGAGAGATACACATTAAAACACTGAGATTCTCCCTCCCCCAGAAAGAATTGCTATTACCAAGAAATCAAAAAAATTTTTAAAGAAATAAAGAGAAAAAAAATCCGTAACAAATGTTGGTGGGGCTGTGGGGAAAAAGGAATCCTTCTCCACTGCTGGTGGGAATGTCGACTAGTACAACCACTGTGGAAATCAGTGTGGAGATTCCTCAAAAAACTGGGATTGGAGATCCCATTCAACCCAGCTATTCTCCTTCCAGATATCTTTCCAGAAGAATTAAAAACATCATACACAGTGATGTATGTGCAGCCATATTTATACCAGCACCATTTATAATATAGTTAGACCTTGGAAACAACTTAAGTGCCCATGACTGAGGAATGGATAAAAAAGAGACAGTGTTTTTATACAATAGAGTACTACTCAGCAATAAAGGAGGAAAAACTTGAGACATTAATAGGCAAATGGATGCAACTTGAAACCATACTTGTACATGAAATAAATCAGACACGCATGTGTAAACACTTGTCTCACTAGTGTGAGAAGCTGAAGGAAACTCTGTGTGTGTGTGTGTATGTGTGTAGAATATAGTTAAGAGAGTTATACTACTGAAAAAAATACAACAGTCTCACATCTGAGCATGTATTCAGAGAAACTGAAGTGAGGATCTGGAAGAGATATCTACATTCCTGTTTTCACAGCCATGTTATTTACAATAGCCAAGAGGTGGAATCAGTGTAAGTGCCCATCAACAGATGAATGGATAAACAAAATATATAAGTTACACATGTGCATGAATACTACTCAACTATAAAAACGGGTAAAGTGCCAGGCTTGGTAGTACACACCTGTAATCCTAGCTGTTTGAGAGTCTAGAGCAGGAGGATCATAAGTTTGAGACCAGCCTGGGCAATTCAGTGAAACTTTTATCTTGCAATACTGAATTTTACAAAGGCTAAGCATAATGGATGTAATCACTATCTACTGCAAGCATTAATAAAAATATAAATTTAAAAGGGCTTAGGTATGTAGCTCAATAGTAGAGTGCTCATGAGTTGAATTTCTAGTACTATACAAGAGAAAGAAAAAAAAGCCAGGCATGATGGTGTAGCCTGTAATCCCAGCACTCAGGAGGCTGAGGCAGGAAGATCACCAAGATTATTTTTTTTTTGATCACCAAGATTTTAAGGCCAGCCTAAACTGCATAGCAAGACCCTGCCTAAAAAGGAAAAAGAAAAAAAAAAAAAGAGATTGATTCAACCTCTCACCCTAAAAAGTAGCAAAAACAACAAGAGCCAAGCTTTAATGGAATCAGACTTGCAAACCTGGTGTCTGAGGGAAAAGAACACAGAACACAGCAAAGAATTTACAACCTACCATGCAGGTCCCTTCCCACTGGCTGAGCACTAGGAAGGTACAATCTTCTCTAGCAGTGCCTGGAGTTCCCTAGCCCCCATCACAGTGAATGGGGACCCATTTATAGCATTGTTTGTTCTTCATTTTGGGACTAAGAAGCAGATGTTTCAGGCAGCCTGAGACCACACGGATTACACAATGCTTACCTTCTATCGAGGCTTTCTTGTGCATTGTTTTCGTCTTTCCCTCAAGGTCCCACTTGCCAAGGACTCTTCCAAATGTAGGCATTTGGAACCCTCTTGCCTCAGCCTCCTGAGTGCTGGGATTACAAGCATGTCTCACCACACTTGACTCAAAGTAAAAAATTTTTAAATGGTAAAATATAGCTCAGTGAAGAGTGCTCCTGAGTTCAATCCTGAATAGCTCACACATGCACACACACAAATTTTAAAAAAAATGCAAACCAGCAGTGGCAGCAGTGGTGGCTGAAGAAGGGAAGAGGAGGAGAAATAGAAAAAGAAGAAAATAAGGCTGAGTCCAGACTAGTCACAAGTTCACAAAGTTACAAGTTCACAAGTCACAAGGTTAATTTGGGTCTTAAAATAAAAAATGGCTGGAGGTGTAACTGTAGCAGCAAAATGAACATCCTGGGTTCAATCCTGAGTACCGCCAAAATAAAATTAAAAGTCACAGGCAGGCAAACATTGTGCAATTCCATTGTATGAGGTATCTAAAGCAGTCAACCTGGGTGTGATGGAGCATTATTATCATGTCGACATTTGGGAGGCTGAAGGAGAATCACTGGGAGTAATGAGGCCACTGGGCTACATAGTGAATTAAGACCACACTGAGTTACAGAACAAGACTCCCATCTCAAAATAATAATAAAGCTGTCAAAACTGTAGCAGCAGAAAGCAAAATCATGGTCACCATGGCTATGAGGGAGGATTCCTGAATGAGTACAGAGTTTCAGATTTACAAGATGAGAAAGTTCTAGGCATCTCATTCATAGCAGTGTCCATGAATTTCACACTACTAAACCTTACCCTTAAAAGTAGTTGATTTTTTTTCCTCTGGGGCTAGGGATTGAGCCCAGGACCTTGCACCTGCTAGGCAAGTCCCTGTGACTGAGCTGCGTCAGTCCACAGGCCCTTTTATTTTGAGAGAGGATCTCACTAAATTTCCCAGGCTGGCATTGGATTTGTGAGCCTCTGCCTTAGCCTCCTGAGTAGCTGGGCCACCACACCCAGCCTGTCACACATTCTTTATCACACTCTTAAGTGGATTGCTTTGGTCAGTTCAGTCAGTGGATGAGAACCTGACTGGGGCTTGGGCCACAGAAGACTTTTCCATCTTCCTTATCTGACCACCCAGCAGCCAGGCAGTCCCACCCACTCAGGCAAACCTGGCACCTGAAGGAAGCTAATCCAGATTCTGCAGTCCAGAGGGGCCGCCCCAGCCAATCTGCAGGGAACAGGAGGCACTACCCTAAAGCAGACTCCACCATGTGGTTCTGCAGCTAAGTGAGGAGGCTTTGATACAGAAAGAGTTCCAAAAAGAATTTTTTTATTTTAATTTTTAGGTTTTATTTCTTGAAATATGGTTTTTCTTTTCTTTTTTAAATAGGGTACCAGGCTGGGGGGCCAGTGATTTAGCTCAGTGGCACAAGCACATGCCTTGGAAGCATGAAGTCGTGAGTTTGATCCCCTGTACAAAAAAAAAAAAAAAAAAAAAAATAGGGTTTTCAGGCTGGCCTTGAACCCACAGCAATTCTCCTGCCTTAGCCTCCCCCAAGAATACACTTAAATTTAAAAAAGCACAGAAGACAGCACACAGTAAATTTAGCCTGACATTTGTTCGTTTGAAGACACCCTGGGAGAATATATAAGAAACAGATAAAGTGGTTATTTATAGATAAGAGGAATATTTAACCAATAGCGTTGTGCAGGCTAAAATACAGAAAGTGCTGAACCCAGCATTTGAGTTCTTACTTTGGCACTGTGTAACATTGCACCAGATACACACACGTGCACGCATCCCCTTTACTTAATCATGATATAATTTTCCTTCCTAAGAAGCTGGAGCAGGAAACCAAATGGCCAGGGGCCTAGGTTAGGGTCCAAGACAGGCCCAGGAACAGATCGGATGTCGGCAGCACACTTGGGGGATGGGAAAGACACCAATCCCCAATAAAAGGAGCCAGGGATAAGAGCTCCTCGCAGGCTTTCAGCTCTGAGGCCTGTGTCCCCCCCCCCCCCAGCAGCTGTCCACCCTCTTTCTTTTCCATCTTTCTCCCCATATAAATCATCTTTTGTTACACTGAACTTTGCCTTTCTTAAGTTCTTTATTGGTACCAGGTTTAGGATGGTGGGGCTTTGTTTTCAGCAGAGCAGTGGTGTGGTGTGACAAGTGCGGCATGGTTATCTGTTCACCCCTGGGTGTAACATCCTCAGCCCAGCTGCATCCCAAGCCCCCTGTTCTCTGAGACAGGGTCTCAACATGCAGTTCAGGCTGGTCTTGAACTCACAGCAATCCTCCTGCCTCAGCCTCCTGAATGCTGGTATCACAGTTGTGCACCACCAAACCCAGTGCACATCATTTAAACATTCTAATATGCCCTTGTAATATTCAGAGTTCAGTGTAGTATTCGGGGGTACAATTAATCTGACACAATTCCACCAAGGTCAAAAAATGCAACTTCAATTTGATATTGGATCTTGATGCTTTTTTTTTTTTTTTTTTTGCATGAGAACTGGTGGTTTCCACTAAGAACTCTGAAACTGGTCTCAGGATCATAACCACAGACCCAAGCCTCATCGATGGTGATAGTAACTCTTAAAAGTCGGGAATCTGGAGCAGCACTGCCATACAGTGCTGGTGAAACCAATGAACATGGTCAAAACTGTGGACTGAATATTCCACTGCTTTGCCCCAGGTCCAAATCACCATTAAAATGCTGTGCACAGACCCCAGAAGTTCTCCTAGGAGTCTGTCACTGTTTGATCCCATCATTTCACTTCCTCTTTCAAAATCTTCTAGGGTTTCTCCTGTGGAAGGACCTCCCTTCGGCAGTTCACAGCCACTGCCAAATTGCTCACAGCACTTGTGTCACTGTGGCAGCATCACACGCTAAATGTAACATTTTATGTATTTCTTTACCAGCTTTTGTACTGTGAAGCAGAATCTCATGTTAATGTGTAGTTTAGCATCTGTGATTTTTTTGGTAAAATATAGAAGGCTTCACACATTTGCGTGTCATCCTTGCGCAGAGGCCATGCTAATCTTCTCTGTGCTGTTCCAATTTTAGTATATGTGCTGCAGAAGCGAGCACAGCATCTGTGACTTATAGCACACTAAAACACACCTTCTCTCAATCATAACTCACAACCAACTGCACTGAGCAACCTGAAGGTTGTCATACCCAGTTACCGAGGTGCCACGCACTGCTTTGTTCTTTTTTTTTTTTTTTTTTTTTTTTTTTTTGGTGCTGGGGATCGAACTCCTGACCTCACGTTTGCCAAGCAGGCACTTACGCCGCTGAGCTAAACCCATGGTTCCTGTTCTTCTTTTTAAAACACGGTCTTGGGGCTGGGGATTTAGCTCAGCGGCATAAGCGCCTGCCTTGCAAGCAGGCAGTCGTGAGTTCGATCCCTGGTATAGAAAAAGACCAAACACACAAACAAACAAACAAACAAAAAAACCCCCACAGGGTCTTACTATGTAGCCCAGGCTATCCTCTAAGTCACAGCAAGCCTCCTGCTTCAGCCTCCTGAGTGCTGGGATTACAGGTATGCACCACTGCACCTGGTTTGCTTTTCTTACTGAAGATTCCTGGTTTTCCATTAGATTGATAACAGAAGAAATTAACTCTCTACCTGCTAGATGTTATATATGCTGAGTTCGTGTTTTCCAAAACCAAAGAATAAATTTTAAGGAACAACAGTGGTTAAGAGTAGGAAATATTGGGGTCCAGGATGTGGCTCAGCTGCACAAGCACCTGCCTGGCAAGCACAAGGTCCTGCCTTTGATTCCTGATACCAAAAAAAAAAAAAAAAAAAAAAAAAAACTAGAAAATATTCTTGAGACACAGATGGTTCCTGAGATATAGGAGGGGACCTGAAAACTGGGTTGCTCTGGACCCCATTTTATTTTATTTATTTATTTGGTACCGGGGATTGAACTCACAACCTTGCACTTGCCAGGCAGGTGCTTATGCCGCTAGCTAAATCCCCAGCCCTAGATCCCATTTTATAAAGTAACTTTTGTAGAGCAAAATCACAAGGTGGGTATAACGTGGAACAAAACTATGACCAACTAACAAGGTTGGAGTATAGTGGCTTAGGTAATGTTGATCTGATGGGGAAGCAGGTCATATTGTGTGGATGGAAAGAACAAGGGCCTTTTTAGGAAGAGCTGAATCAGGGGATCTTGTTCCCCCACTGGGGTGACTCATGTTAATTTACTGTTTATCTTTTGGGGTAGCACATAGGCCTGGTCATTGTGGCTTTTTTTGAGATAAAGATCTGGCATCCAACACATGTACCTCTAGTCATGGTTGTATGAGTTTTCATCTCTAGCATTGACTCTCCTGAAAGTCGAGCCCTGTCTGACTGCCCAGATTTTCACCTGACTCAGCTGTGTGTAATAAAATGACACTTGGCAGCAGTGTTCACAGGATTTGTTTCTTTTTTTAGGAACTGGTCCAACATTTAAACCTCGCTAGGTGCCTTTTTCTTTTGTATTGGTACATTTTAGATATACATAATGATCAGATTCATCATAGGGAATTTGAACCTGTACATGATATATATATATATATATTTTTGATATATCTTCTTTTTTTCTACTCCTCTCCCTTCCTTTTTTTCTCTGCCTTATTTTCTTTGGTACTGGGAATCGAACTCAAGACCTTGCGCTTGCCAGGCAGGTGCTTGTGCCACTGAACTATAACCCCAGCCTACCCCCACCATCTCATTTATAAAATCTTTGTTTCCATTTTATCCCTTTTTTTCTTTTTTGGTACTAGGAATTGAACTCAGGACCCCGTGCTTGCCCTAGCCCTTATCTTTATCATTTTTGTTTCCTTTTTCCCTTTTTCCTTTCCTCCTCCTTCTCCTTCTAATTTGAACATTGTCTTTCCATTTCTTAGTATCTATTACACATTTCGGTCCGTATTCCTTTTTTTCATTTTGAGACAGGGTCTCGCTATGCAGTTCAGGCTGGCCTTGGGCTCATTTTGTAGCCTAGGTTGGTCTCAAACCTGCAAACGATCCTCCTGCTTCAGCTTCCCAAGTGTTGGGATTATTGCAGTGGACCACTACGCTGTGCTATGTTCAGTTTCTTAAACCACAGAAACCATGCAATATTTGAACATGTGTGCCAGTTTATTTCACTTAAAGAGTATGGACTCAAGGTGCATCCATTTATCTAGAAATGTCTCAAGCTTATCCTTCTTTATGGCACTGTATAGAAAAGCCACATCTTCTTTATCCAGTCATTGGTTGATGGTCATTTGGGGTGTTTCCAAGATTTAGCTAATAGAAACTCACAGTATTTTTGTTTTTTAAAGTCACATTAGAACACTTTTAGAAAAAAGGAGAAATGCTCGAATATCTTAATTACTCAAGGGCTGAGGCAGGGGGACTGCCATGATTTGAGGCCATCCTGGGATACACAATGAATGCAAGGTCAGCCTGAACTGTATAGCAAGATCCTGTCTCAAAAAAACAACAGGGGATTTAGTTCAGTGGCATAAGCACCTGCCTGGCAAGCTTGAGGTCATGAGTTTGATCCCTGGTACCAAAAACAACAACAAAATCAATTCCTGAGGAAGGGACATCTGACACAATCCACTGTCCAATTATGACCACTAAAAAACAATGCATCACTAAAACCTTTATTATCACTAAGAACACTAAAACTATGATTGGAAAGAAATTTGCTACTTATTCTTTCCTTTTATTGCTTTTTTTCCCCCCCTCAGAGCTGGGGATTGAATCCAAGGCTTCACATGTACTAGGCAAGTGGTCTATCATTGAGCTACATCCCTGATGCAGAATTATTTTTTTTGTGGAGGCTAGGGTAAGAAAGTTTTGAAAATAGTTGTGCTGGTTGCACAATGTTGTGAATGAAATTAATGTCGCTGAGTTGCATAGGTAAAATGCCAATTTCTTAGTATACGTATATTTAACCATTGTTTTGTTTTTTGGTGATGCTTGGGATCGAACCCATTTAATTTTCTTTTGTTGGTCTGAGACAGGGTCTCACTGTGCAGTTCAGGCAGGCTTGACCTCACTTTTGTAGCCCAGGCTGGTCTCGAATACCCCACAATCCTCACACACTGGAAAGCTGAAGCAGGAATCTGGCAAGTTTGAGCCCAGGCCGGGCAACTTATTTAATGAAATTAAAATGGGCTGGGGGATGTACCCCAATGTGAAGGCTCTGGATCTGATCCCAGGACTGCAAAAATAATTAAACAACAAACAAATCCACACAGACTTTACCTTTTCCTTTTGGCAACTGCTGTGTCACACCCACAGGAGGGTGGCAGAGCGTTGGCCTGAATCCTGGCCCAGATTTAGATGCTTATGTCCTATATGGAAAAACAATTATGCTGATTAAGACCATTGTCCTTTGTCCTTCCAATGCTGGCGATCCACATACACTGGCTTTCTTTTTTTTTTTTTTGAGACAAGACAGCGAACAGTTGAGTGTAGCTTTGAACTATGTTGCAAAAGCTGATCTCGAGCTTGCTGCAACCCTGCTGTCTCAGCCTCCCGAGTGCACCATCACACTCAACTTCAACCTATTTTTGCGCTGTGAAAATTTTCACATGAACCCAATCTTCATTACTGGTTTCCTAAGAAGTAGAATGCATTACTCACTGCAAGAAACTACACTGGTACGTGGCTCCGGGACCTCTCCAGGTGCGACTGCAACCCTGCCCCGCCCGCCCAGGGTGGCTTCCGCATTGGCCGGTCTGCGCCGTGACGTTCACACTTTCTGTGACGTCACAACCCTCACCCAGTGAAAGGGGCGAGACTCTGCCCTGGGGGCCGACTACGTGTTGACGTTACACGCCGGGGCGGGGCTGAGAGTTTGGTTCCCGGGAGTGGGGGACTCTGCGTCTCATTCGGGTGGAGCAGAGCAGGAGACAGGTAACTGCGCGTTGCAGCTGGGAGTGGGTCAGTGCCGGCTGGCTAGACGCTTGCCACCTGGAGGTCATGGCCGAGGTTGAGGCTGCCCTGTCCTTGAGGCCGCGGGCGCTGAGGGGACGGCAGTGGAACTGGACAGAGCTGGGCAGACGGAGGGTGGCGGTGGTGGGCGGAAACAGGGCTTGACTGACAGGCATGGTAGCGAGTGGTGCAACGGGGTCCGCCCGCCGGGCGGGCATTGGCGGGTGAGGGCGCTCGCCGGGGGGTCGCGCAGGGCGCGGAGTGGTTCGCCATTGGCTGCGGGCGGCTGGCGGGCTGCGGCGCGGCCGCCGGGGTGACCCCAAGGTCGTAGCGGAGTCACATGGCGGGCTCCGTGGGGCTGCGTCCTCCGTGCGGGCGTCCCTTTGTCCTGGGGAGCCGCCGTCTTGGACCAGGCTGCGTGACCTTGGCGGCTACCTCGGCCCCACCTGCCGCCCGGGGCAGACAGCACCTGGGAGGAAGGAAGCCCGCTTGTGTACACGCTCTCGGGCGTCCTTTCCCTTGCCAAGGGTGTGTGATAGCCGCTGGGATGTAGTGGGGACCTGACCTCGAGCCAGGTACAGTGCCAAACCCCGAAGTGACAAGTTTCGCAAGTTTAGTCGCCTACTTCCCTGAGGACAGGTGTAGGGACATTGGCTGCATCAGTGAGCTGGGTGTGGGGAAGGGGCGGTGCCCGGTGGTCGGCGCCCGCGCAGACCCACTTCCGGCTCATTGTGCGCATGTCCGGAAGATGGCGGCTGTGAGCATTTTAGGATTGGAGATCTAGGTCCTTTGGTAACCAAAGGTCACTTATCACACGTTTGTACAGGCCCCCAAGAAGCAGGCTACCAGCTTGGGATAGACTGAGGAAGTCCCAAGACAATTTAGCATTGTGACACCCCCCCCACCTCCGTGGCAGAGATGTCAGCTGAAGGAGACCTTGGGAGGATAGGGCTTAGGGTCATGACCTCCAAAGTTGGTGGTAGAAACTAGATAAAGTAAACGGTTTATTCAGGTTTTCTCTCAATTTTATGATTCAAGCTTGTCTCAGTTGTCCTTTTCTCTTTCGGTGATAGCAGCAGAGGGAATCGTGTTAGGGTAAGGTGCTGGGATTGCACCAGGAATGCACCACCATGCCTGGCTCAGAAATACTTACACACAAATTTCTGTTCGTTTTGATTACATTTAAAGCCCCCCCCCTTCCTTATCAAAGGCTGGAAATTATTTTTCATGGTTTTGGAAGCTGGGAAGTCTTTAAGTTTGAGGTGCCACAGGTTCTGTGTGGTGCTAGTCTGCTTCCTGATTTAATTTTTTTTAGTTTTTGGAACCGAGGATCGAACTCACCACCTTGTGCCTGCCAGGCAGGCGCTTGTGCCACTGAGCTAAATCCCCATGCCTTTTTTGTAGGAGTAGCAGTTTGGGACAGGGTCTCACTATGTTGTGCAGGCTGGCTTTGAACTCACCAAACTCCTCCTGTGTCAGCCTCCCTAGTCCTGGGTATTACAGGCATGCACCCCCATGCCTAGCTCATTTTTATTTTTTGACATAACTGTTAAAATTTAGGTGTTGTAAATTTTTGAGAAATTCTACATATCTGTTACATACAATCAAAATAAAAAAGGGCTGGGATGGTGGTGCACACCTGTAATCCCAGCCTGAACTACATAGCTAGACCTGGTCTTAAAAAAACAAACCAGTGCAAAGATTCCTGTGTTCCTTCCCCTACTTTTCTCCAGTGGTAGATTTTCCAGACTATATAAGTATCACAACCAGATATTTATATTAGTAAACTTCAAGGTACAAAACATTTATCTAAAGGGTAATGGCTGGCTGTTGCCTTTTAATTGTTGAGAGTCTTTCGATGTAGTTCAGTCTGGCCTTGAATTCCTGTGTAGCCTAGGCTGGCCTCCAACTCCATTGATCCTCCTGCCTCAGCTTTCTGACTGCTGAGACTACAAGCTTATGCTACCACACTGTCTGTGCTAAAATCAACACTGACTTTCTTTCCGCCCTTAACCCTTCATCTACTGGCAATAAGGCAACAGTACACCTATTTGCCTAATGTTGGTTGCTAAGAATGCTAAGTAAAGGGAGTGGGATTGATTTTCCACTCATCAAAGTTCCCTAGAGATTCATCCCAGCTATGGTGCCTTCTAAATTGTACTAGTCCTTTTTGAATTAGTGGCTTACACATTTCCTCCTACTTTGTAGTGTTTTTTGTTTTGTTTTTCTGGTACTGGAAATCAAACTCCTGTTGTTGTGCTTGCCAGGCAGGTGCTGTGCTGCTGAGCCATATCCCTAACCCCAAAATAAACATTTTTAGTTGTGTTTTTTTTTTTTTTTTTTTTGTTTCCGGGACCAAACTCATGACCTCACACTTGCCAGGCAGGTGTTTATGCCGCTGAACTAAATCCCCAGCTCAAAACATTTTTAATTTTGAGGAAGTCTGGTTTAACATTGTCTTACTAGAGTGTGCTTGTGGCCGTCAGGTGTGAGAACTTAATCTACAAGACTTTTTTGAGGGAAGGTCTTCACTATGTAGTTGAGGCTGTGCTCAAACTTATGCAATAGGCGAGGCTGGCCTCAAACTCACAGCAGTTCTTCCATCTCAGTCTCCCACCAGAATGCTGGGGTCACAGGAATGTGCCACCACTCCTGGCTCCACGCCTTTGTCTGGAATAAGCTTTACTAGGCCGTAGTATATAACTGTATGTGTTACTAAATGCCATGTGCAATGTTTTGTGAAGGGGCTTTGCCTCTGCACCCCTAAGTATTAGTCTAAGCTATTGTTTTTTCCTACGATTTTTTGATTTGGTGTGTTGGTAAGTGTGTGTTCCTTTGTATTGTCCAGGAGATAGCATGAAGAATTTGAACTAATTTAACCTTGCATACTTGGTAGAATTCTCTAATGAAACCTTCTGGGCTTGCAGATTGCTTTTCTAGGAGTATTTTAATTACAAGTTAAATTTCTTTAATAGTTACAGGGTCATGAAATTCCTGTTCTCACTGGGTGTGTTGTTGGTTTGTGCCATTACTGAGTTCTTCCACAGCCTTGCTAATTTTTTTTTTTTTTATTGGTACTGGCGATCAAACTCACAACCACCTGCTTACAAAGCAGGTACTTATGCCACTGAGCTAAATCCCCAACCCCAGCCTTGCTAATTTTTGGTTCTAGCTGTTTTATCTATTGCTTAAAGGCAAGTGTAAAATGTCTGACTATAAATCATCATTTACCAGGTTCAGTGGTGCATGCCTGCAATCCTAGCACTTGGGACGTTGAAGCAGGAGGATTGCAGTATGTTTGAGGACAGGACTATATAGTGAGACCCTGTGTAAATAAATATATAAATAGTCTTCGCTTCACGTCTTGTGTAGCTTTCTTGTTTGGCACATGCACATTCAGGATTGCCATAGCTTCTTGCAGAGTGTTTTTCATCACTATAGAATGTCCCTGCTCTGGTAATCACATTTGCTCTGAAGTCTATTTTGGCAGCCACAGAGGTCCTTTCCTTTGATTACTATTAGAATGTTAATTGATACATCATTTTCATCCTTTTACTTTGTGTTACGTCATGTATTTAAAGTAAGTTTCTTGCCAGGTGTGGTGGCATATGCTTGTAATCCCAGTACTCAGGAGGCTGAGGCAGGAGAATCACCACGAGTTTGAGGCCAACCTGGACTACAATGTGAGTTAAAGGCCAGCCTGAACCATATAGTGAAACTTGCCTCAAAGACCAAAAAAGAAAAAAAACCTAAATGAGTTTCTTGTATATAAGTTTACAGTTTGGTCCTGTTCTTACCCTGTGCCATCTGACTTCTAATGTGTGTACTTAAATGTGATATAATTATTGATAAGGACTAATGTTTTCCATTTCGTTCTTTATTGACTACTCTGAATTTTCATTTTTAAGTATATTGGTACAATTCAGATACACATGACGATCACATTCACCATAGAGCATTTGTATTTATGCGTGATACATCTTGGTACCGTTTTTTTCCTGTACCACTCCCTTCCCTTCAATCCTTGTTTCCCTCCTTATTTACAAAGCTTGCTTGGGTTTTTCATTTTCATGAGTTTTTTTCTGACTTTCTGTGAGTTTAACATATTTTGAAATTCCAGTTATATTTGTGTGGGTTTTTTGTTTTGTTTTGGTTCTGCTTTGTTTTTGGGTGTTTTGAGGCAGTCCTGCTATGTAGTCCAGGCCAGCCTGAACATGCTGTGTGACCCAGGCTGACCTTGAACTTGAAATTCTGCCTCAGCCTCCTGAGTTCTGAATTAGAAGAGGGTGCCTGCATTTTTTTACCGTCTGGTGGTGCTGATGATTGTACTTGATAGGTAGGTACTATTCTCTGCCACTGATCTGTAGCCTCACCCTTTTTTACCATTTGGAGATGGTCTCAATAAACTTGTCTTCTCTGGCTTTAGATTTAGGATCCTCCTGCTTTAACCACTCAAGTAGCTGGGATTGCAGATAGATACCACCGTGCCCAGCTAATATGTAATTTTGAGGTGTATCTTTTTGCATAGCTATTTTATTTTTATTTTTTTGAGACAGGGTCTCACTATCTTGTTCAGGCTGGCCTTGAACTCCCTGTGTAGCCCAGGCTGGCCTCACACAGCAATCCTCCTGCATCAGCCTCCTGAGTGCTGGATTACAGGTGTGCACCACCACACCTGGCCTGCATTGGCTCTTTTCATTGGTTGTCTAACTACTTCATTGTATAGATGTAATTTATCAAGTTGGCTGGTGTCATTTTACCAGTTTTAGTGAAGTATAGAATAAACCTTACATTCCTGGCTGGGCATTTCTGTAGTCCCAGCCCTCAGGATCTGAGCAAGCATCAGAGTTTGAGTCCAGCTGAGGACACTAGGCCTGGAGCCCTCTATCACAAGGACAAGGGCCTTGGCCATGGTTGCGGCGGGCTGTAATGCTGAGCTACAAACACAGCGTAGATCACGCCTTTGTATTTCTGGAAGTTTCAGAGCATGTAGACTCCATTATGTATGTGTAAATATGGGTGTGGTCTTTTAGGGTTTTTTATTTGCTTGCTTGTTTGTTTTTTTTTTTTGAGCCAGGGTCACCCTATGTAGTGTAGGCTGAACTTGCGTATGTAGCTCAGGTTGGCATACTACGGCAGTCCTCTGCCTCAGCCTCCATGTGTGCTGGCTTTACAGATATCTACCACCACACTTAGCAAATGGGTGTAGTTTTGAATTTTTTATTTGATTTGTTTGCAGACAAGATAAGTTGCCCAGGGTGATTTATTCAGTGATTTTTTTGTTTTGTTTTGTTTGTACTGGGGATCAAACTCATGACCTCATGCTTGCCAGGCAAGTCCTTATGCCACTGAGTTAAATCCCCACCCCTATTTTGTCTTTTTGAGACAGAGTTTTACTATGCAGTTCAGGCTGGCTTTGCGCTCACTTTGTAGCCCAACCTAGCCTCAAACTCATGGCAATCTTCCTGCCTCAGCCTCCTGAGTGCTGGGATTATAGGCATGCATCATCACACCCGGCTTGCTCAGGCTGATCTTGAATACTCAAATGATCCTACTTGCATCAGCCTCTGGAGGCTTGTACCACCACATCCAGCTCTTGGTGTATTTTGTTGTGGTGGTGCTGGAAATAGAATCCAGGGTGTCAAGCATGCCAAGCTTGGTTCTACCACTGAGCCATGCCCCAGCCTGGAGGAAAGGTGTAATTTCAACTTTACTACCGGGACACCTGCTTGGAGGCAAATTCATGAGCAGGGATGCGTCAGGCCAGGAGGCACACAAGCCACCCCAGCCTTTTGACCCAAACCTGAAGCCAGGATTCTCCTCCAAGGCCTCTTTTGCTGAGTTGGTTGCCCTTTGCCAGCCAGGCCTCTCAGAGGGAGAAAGACAGTCTGTTCCCTTCCCCATCTCCTGAGTCCTGAGCTTTTTGTTTTTTCCCACTAGCAGGAATTGAACCCAGGACCTTGAACTCTTTCCAAGTTTTGATGGACCTATAACTTTTTTTTTTTTTTTGGTATGGGGGATTGAACTTGTGATGCTTACCCGGCAAGCACTTGAGCCACCCAGCCCTGATTTATAACTTCTTTATCAGATGTGGTCCTCTCTGCCTCAGCCTTCTGAGTGCTGGGATTATAACCACTGTGCCTGGCTAGTTGGCTTGAAGTTTTTGTTGTTGTTATTTAGTTTTTGAGACAGGGACTCACTGTAGTTCAGATTGGCTTCAAATTTGAGGCAATCTTCCTGTTTCAGCCACCTAAGTGCTGGGGTAACAAGCATGTGCCACCATGCCCCGTTTAAGGTAGCTAGTTTGAGAGAGGATTATATGTTAGAGTAAGCAGACCATCGCTGTGTCTGCCTAGACCTCTTCCCGCCCCTGTCCCACAGGCTCCTTCATCCTTTCTGCCCCCTGACTCAGCCTCTGTGACTCTGTGTAGTCCGGGAGAACTGGGTTTTAGACAAGTGCCTGCCTGCCTGCCCTGGGGCAGAGGAGGGATTGTGCTGTCAGGGAGGTTGGCTTGGGGTCCTGGCTCTGCTGCTGCAGTCCTGTGACCTTAGTGAAACGTGAGGAAGCAGACTTTGGCGAGCAGTACAGCAGAACCTTCTAGAGAGCGTGTGGGTTTCTGCCAGGTGACTACCAACTGTGCTGCAGTTTAGTCTTCACAGAACCACCTGCTCCTCTCCTTGGTCCAGCCCCAGCCCTAACAGCCGCTGGCAGGTGGCAGCCCCCGGCAGGCTCTCCTGGAGCTCTGCCTGAAGCCCTCTCACTCCCTGTGCACTCCTCTTCCTCACCTGGGAGAGCTGCCCTGGGTCCCTGGCCTGTTGTGCATCACTCCCATACTCACAGCTTGAGGGATTTTTCTGTAGTTACTTCTGAAGGTTAAATTATGTACAGGTAAGCAAAGCATTTTTCTAATTTCTCCAGAGTACTGTGAGTATAGCAAGTGCTCTGTAGTTTCTAATTAAAAAACTTACTTTCATTTTATGATTACTCCTAATCCTAAATTATCCTTGTTATCTTTTTGGCAGATGTTTTGTAGTGTCTGAAGGTAGAGAAGGTCATATATATCTGTCAAACCATTCTACTAGTTTTGAACTTGCAGGGGGCAGTACTAGGAATTGAACACTCAGGGCCTTCATGCTATATTCCTGGGCATTTAAAACTTTTATTTTGAGGCAAGTTCTCAGTAAGTCACTAGGTTACCCATTCTGGGATCTTTCGATCCACTTGCCACAGCCCCCTGGGATGCTGGGATTTGAGCAGACACCAGCATACCTGGTTTAGTTAGAAACTTTGTAAGTGCAGATGATGACATCTGCAACTGCGCACCTACCTCCCTTGTTGTTACTCAGCTTCTTGTCCCTGTGCCAGACACCCGGGACTGCTGGAGCAAGGAAAGGTCGGAGATTTCAGTCTGTGTCCTGGGGTGAACAGAGCGTCACAGTGAATGTGTGGCGGAGGAACTGTTCACCTCATGGCAGCCAGGAAGCAGAGATAGACCCAGAGGAAGGGGCTGGGGATTCATCATTGGCCCTGAGGTTGAGTCCCTGTGACCCACTCGCTTACCCCAGGCCCTGCCTCCTAGGTTTGCATCATTTCCTGGGAATATCATCAATTTAGCATGAGTCAGAGCCCTCTATCTGTTTGCCATCCAGAGCCCCCCTGAATGCTGCAGCATGGGTGCGCCCAGCTCTGAACTGTAGACTCACTTGGCCAGGGCAGGGTCCTAGTAGGGAGCGAGTGTGTGTGTCATGTCACATTTTCATGTGGGCTTGGGCACCTTTGTGAGCCCTCGGGCAGGCTAGAATTCTCTTCAGCAGGCAAGGAGAGTGTTTTCCTGTAGCTCTTTTTAAAAGTTTAATAGTTCTCCCTTTAAACTTCCTTGCTTTCTCTCTTTTTGTAAACAGGTCATTGTGAAAGACTTCAGGACAAACATGTTTCACTTAAGGACTTGTGCTGCTAAGTTGAGGCCATTGACGGCCTCCCAGACTGTTAAGACTTTTTCACAAAACAAACCAGCAGCCATTAGGACGTTCCAACAAATCCGGTGCTACTCCGCCCCGGTCGCTGCTGAGCCCTTTCTGAGTGGGACTAGTTCGAACTATGTGGAGGAGATGTACTGTGCTTGGCTGGAGAACCCCAAAAGTGTACATAAGGTAAGGCTCACAGGCAGGTGAGTGCAGCTGGCAAGGCAACCTGGTGCCAACTGGCTGCCCAGGTAAGTGTGCATCCCAAGATGGTGCCCGGTGGCCCAGCAGCCAGGCAGCCAGAGCCCTGCACCCATTGCCACGTCCTATGCCTCAGACCAATGTGACCTCAACAGAAACCACAGTCTTTGTTTAGTCTGGCAGTGGACACCAGGCTCAACCCTGTGCAGATGCAAAGAAGCACACCTGTGGTCCTGTTAGCACACAAGGCAACGGCACGGGAATCAGCGTGTGGCCACGCAAGGACATCGGAAAGCATACATGCAGCCCTGCAAGGACACTGGGAAATGCATGCGCAGCCCTCCAGGATCCTCCCAGGAGCAACTTCAGATGAAGCCTCTGAGAATAAAAACCAGAGGTTCTTGGGAAGAAATATAGTTCAAACATAGTTTGAACTGGGAAACTCTGGCACCCAGAGGATGCTGTAACACACAACAATTAAGTCTCCTTGTGTACTTTCTGCATAAATGACCTTACAGATCATAGATTACTGTGTTCCTACTCCCCTCCTGTTTCTGATTTCCCTAGCTTTCTCCTCCCTCAGCAGGTTTGCCAATAGAAACCATGCTGCTACATTTATTCTCTTTGTGGCCAGTGCATATATGAAGGTTTAAGGGGCCACTACTTGGTTTTGCCAGTCTTGACAGCCCATGGCAGGAGGTACATGCAGTCTGCAGGAGGAGGAGGAAATGGTCCGGGCGGGATGTAGCTTGGCATGGCCAAGGGGGCCTCCCCAGCCTGAGCTGACCATTGCTGTGATTGGGCTTTTGCCTGCCGCTGGGCTTACCTCATGGGAAGGGGTCTTTGCCCCGTCAGCCTGGGAATAAGCTTTGACTCTAGGGATTAGTGAGCCTGGGAAATGGCCCTGCTGCAATGGCTGCAGCCTCGGGCCCTGTTTGGTAGCAGTTTCCCATTTTCACTTGTACCTGAGCCAGGTGAGACTTGGTATCTTGCAAGAGATCTGCAGTTCATTTCCCAGTGAGAACAGATTGCGCGTGAAAAGTGCCTGTGACAGTGGCCCCTGCTGTGCTCTGCTTGGGCCTTGGAGGCTCCTTGTGACAGCAGGCGCAGGTTGTCTCTGGAGTAACAACCGCAAGGCTTCGCGATTGTCTGTGCGAGGACTGTTCTTCTCTTCCTTTGCTCAGATGTCACCTTTTTTGTAGCCACACGCTGTGGGACACGCCGCAGTACCCCTACTTGGGATGCTGAGGCATGAGGATCTCAGGTTTGGAGGCCAGGCTGGGCAATTTAGCCAGACTCTGGCTCCAAGTAAATAAATAAATAGGCTGGAAATGTAGCTTATGCCAGTTGGAGTCAGTCCCTAGTACCATAAAACCAACCAAGTTGCCTTAATGGTGTTCGAAGGTAGAGACCATAGCTCCCGAATTACAGCACATTGGGTGAGGAAAGGCACCTGGGCTGTGTGTGTTCCCCACACTGGTGACCTGAGGCTGGAGGGCACATGGGGAACTGTGGCCCCGGTGCTGCGGATACGGGGCAGCACTGCCATTGCTGCTCTTGTTGGAAGCTTTTATTTTTGTCAGTGCTGGGGTCAGAGCCTTGTGCGTGCTCAGCAAGCGCCCTCCCCCTGGGCTACACCTCCAGCCCTTTTTTAACGTTGGCATGGGGTCTCTGAGTTGCCCAGACTAGCTCAAGCTTGTGATCTTTTTGCCTCAACCTCCCAAGTAGCTGAGATCACAGGCATGTCCCTCTGTGTCCAGCCTCTATTCAGAGCTTGTGAGAGGTATTTTGTGAAAGCCTAACAGCTTTGTGCTCCCTTGGTGGTTGGGTAATTGACTCTGGTTCTCCTCAAAATCTTTTCACCACGTGATGTCAGAGAAAGCAACACTCGGTGGCCAGGTGGAGTAGTAGTTCTCAGTGCCCCAGGATGGGCAGGAGTACCTGGTTCCACAGTCAGTGCCAGGGGACTCCCAGACACAGCTTCCAGGGAAGAATCCCTAGGTTGGGGTGGGAGTCTGGCATTCTGCTCTACAGTCCGAAGGCCTTCAGGCCTGGTCCCTGCCTCTCCAGCCTGCAGAGGGAGGGTGGGGCAGGAAGTGCTCTCCAGAGACCTGGCTGTGATCTGGCTGGACCTCAGGCCGCCTCTGCTGTGTGGACACCACGAGGGGTCCTCTTCACGCAGTGTGAGTCCGTATGTGGCAGTGCACGTTTTCAGGGGGGATGATCCATAACTGCCTTTGGATCTGTGACCCACAGAACTGTAAACACTTCATTGTATCATTTGTGTCTGGGCTTTAGAGCACATGGTTTCAGCAGAGATGATAAATACAGAAACACGTAATGTGCCAGTCATCTTTCTGGTCCCTCACTTCCACATTAGAAATGTCTTGAGATCGGATTCCATCATCACTTTCAGAGCACTCATGCTGGCTGCTGGGACCAGTCTTTTGTATCTAGTAGAAGCAGAACAAACTCAGTGTCTCCTCCTCATTTTGTTTTTTGGTTACCTACTGTGTTTTGTTCAGTTGGGTTTGTGCATGGTACTGCTAATTAGGTGTTGTACCACTGAGCTGTGTTTGTCCCCCATTCTTTTTATTTTCTAATTCTGAGATGGTCTTACTGAGTTGCTCAGGCTAACCCAAACCTGAAATCCTCCTCTCAGCCTCTTAGAATGTTGAGGTTATAGATGGCCAGGTTCCTTACCTGTTTGTTCAAATGTCATGTCATGCTGTCTTCAGTCATAACAGAAGAGAGAAGGAGAAAGGGAACACCTTGAGAGCCGTCTCTGCAGCTGTCTGCTCTGTGTTGGTCTGGTAAAACCCAGACACTACCCACAGTTTTCAAGCTACCCATTTTATTTATTTATTTATTTAGATGGTGCTGGGGATTTAATCTGTAAGCTTCACAATGAGTTACATCTCTTGCCCTTTTTTATTTTGAGACAAGGTTTCACTGAGTTGCCCTGGCTGAGCTTTTTTTTTTTTTTTTGGATACTGAGAATCAAACTCGGGACCTTGTCCTAGCCAAGCAGGTGCTGTGCCATTGAGCTGTGTCCCCACCCCCTCCACTGAGCTTAAACTTAAAAGCTTGCCACACTTGCCTGTCTTTTTACATTTGGTTTTATGTTTTGTAGTTGGTTGTATCTGCCTGTTTTATTCCCACGGTACTGGGCATAAACCCGGACATGCACACTGAAGTACATCCCAACCTTTTTTTATTTTGGATCTGTCTCAGTTTCTCAGGATGTTGAGAGTACAAGTGTGTACCACCATGCCTGACCTTGTATTCACTAAGAAAGTTACATACTGCATCTATGTATATACTTTTCTTTCCCTCTGAGGCCAGTTCCTACTATGTTGGCCCTGAACTCCTGGAAACAAGTGATCATCCCTCCTCAGCTTCCCAAGTAGCTGGGACTATACGAAGCCAGGGCCATAGCTTGGATCCCTATTTTTATTTATTTATTTACTTTTATTTAAAAATTTAACAACCTGAGTGCACACCTATAATCCCAGCATTCATGAGTCTGAGGCAGGAGGATCACTGCAAGTTCAAGGCCCGCCTAGGCTTCATAGCCTATATAGCCTTGTCTTGTAAAGAAAAATGAAAATTACATCTGTGGTAAATATTGTAGCAGGTCACAATGATCTACAATGAGTGTCCTGTCATCTGACCACTGTCCCAAGTTCTGTCATCTCTGGGACCCTTGCTGTCCCCTAGGCTGATTGCACACCTCACCAAGTCCCCATAACCCTCTCTGCCGGCATGAGAGGCCCTCCCCATTGGCGTGGAAGGTCTCCCCATTAGGGCCTCAGCATGCTGGGAACATGTGGAAATTGGCCATTTTATGTTTTTTCACTTAAACATACCCAAAATGACACTATCCTTTTCAGTGTTTAAGATCAGGAGTAAATAGCTAAGCCCCATCAGTCTGGACATTGGTCTCTTTGTTTGGTAGGATGAGGTGCCAGCTTCTTCCCATGCCAGCTTGTGGCCTTGGGAGGTGGGAAGAGCTGGGGCCATCATCTTCCCTAGAGTGCTCACAACAGCCTCAGTGGGCGTCACTGGCCCTGTATCTGTCCTTGTGCCTGCTGCTTTGACCCTGGCCCACTTCCTGAGCCCTGCCCCTGGGGCTGTTCCACCGATGCCCAAGTTGGTCAGGGCTTTGGTGTGCCTGTGACTTGGCTCACGATGGTTGCTGTGGAGTTGGGGCCTGGTGTGTGCCAGGGCAGGGTGCAGGGCTGCTGTCTTTCCTCTACATGTTGTCCTCTGACCCTTTGCTACTTCCCTGCTTAGGAAGCATAAGCCTGTTGTCATCTGTGCCATTGCCCATGAAGGGTGGCAGGGCCTTTTTGCTTGGTAAACAATGAACCACCTTGGATCTACTCAGCTAGCATTGCACGCTGCCCTTCCATTCCCACGCTCACTGGGGCTTCTTTCTTGGCAGGCCCTGCAGAGCTGTCCTGGCCTCTTGCTCCCGGGGCAGGACTGGGCCATGCTCTTGCTCTCACCCACAACTCCCTGAGGTGACCTCTCTACAGAGCACTTCAGGGTTGTTTCAGTGACGCGCTCAGAAGGCATTTTAGGTAATGTAAGTCTAGTGCCTGGAATACTTTTTGTTTGTGGTGTTAATAATTAATTCAGGGCCTTGCACAGGCTAAGCATGTGTACTGTACCAGTGAGCTCCCTTTTATATATAACCCTCTCTTCGGTTACTTTATGATCTCAGTAATCAAGCCTTCAAAGCTGCCCCTCTGGGCTCTTCAGCTTCCTCTTGTTAAAAGCAGTCCCAGCAGTGGTGACAAACCACCTAAACAAGCCCCAGCTTTATCATGATATTTTTTTCCTGAGGGGTCTGTATTTGTGGTTAAGTTAGGGAGAAAAATGAACCTCTCTGCAGGCAGCAAGCAGCACAGAGCGGCATCTGCAGTGTTGATATCCTTGGCATTGTGCTTACTCAGCAGGGCGAGGAGAGAGCCAGCTCTCAC